GCAACCTCGGCAGTAGACCAAACTGAAAGCACCAGAGTTTTAGTTTGCCTGGTAGAGCACAGCTGTTTATGCTCTTCAACCCTTCCACTGCTTGTCATCTAACTTCTCCCACTCGAACTGTGTCATTTAGATCCCCATCGTACCATCTCCCAAGACTCTTCACTGGCTTCTCAGAAACTGTTGGTATTGCCTCACCATTAATGAAGAATGTTTTATCTATTACCTTTCCTTTAACTATCGAGATGCTCCTTGATTTAGAGGGCTTAAATTGCATTCTTGCCCATTCAATATTATCGGTTAACTTACCCAATAACCGATTAGTGCAGGTTACTGTTGTAGTCATGGTTGTCATGTCATCCATGTATGCTCTGATTGGTGGTAGTTGCAACCCAGAAGCCAAGCGCTCTCCTCCTACTACCCATCTCGATGCCCTAATGATTACTTCCATTGCCATGGTAAAAGCCAGTGGAGAAATGGTGCATCCTGCCATTATTCCAACCTATAGGCATTGCCATGCAGTGCTGAATTCTGGAGTTAAGAAACTAAATTGCAAATCTCCAAAATAGGCTTTCACTAAATTTGTTATTGACATTGGTACTCTGAAAAAATCAAAAAAGCTCATGTGGTACTGAACCATGTGCATTAGCCAAATCCAGGAATGTCACATGGAGCTCCTTCCTCTCCTTTTTAGCTGATTGAATTCGTTGCCATATAACATTGATGTGTTCTAAGCATCCTGAGAAGCCTGGAATGCCTGAACTGAAGTGTCAATGAAGCCATTCTTTAATAGGTAGGTAGGTGGACAATCTCTGAGCAATAATGCTGAAGAAAATCTTACCTTCAACGTTTAATAGTGAAATAGGACGAAACTGACTGATGCTTGTAGCATCTTTTTCTTTAGGTATAAAGACTCCACCTGCTCTGCGCCATGCTCTAGGTACAACCTGTTTTTCCCATGCCACTTTTATCAATTTCCACAGAATTCGTAGAACTCCTGGCACACTCTTGTACACTCTGTACGGAACTCCATTAGGCCCTGGAGATGATGAAGCCCTTGCCTTTCTCACAGCCTGCTCTACCTCTTTCCACTTAGGTGCACAGACCTCCATTTGGTATTCTGGTGGGTTGATAGGTGGGATGTCTGATGGAATTGACATGGGCTCATGCCTTAAAAACACATACTAAATATCTGTCCACAAGACTTTTGACTAATGGTAAATGGTAAATGGACTGCATTTATATAGCGCTTTCACAGACCCAATGGCCACCAAAGCACTTTACATTTTTGCCTCACATTCACCCATTCACTCACTCATTCATACACCGACGGCGGTGTCAGCCATGCAAGGCGCCATCCAGCTTGTCGGGAGCAGCTGGGGTTAGGTGTCTTGCTCATGGACACCTCGACAGGTGGAACCGGTGATTTAACCACCAACCTTCCGGTTTGTAGACGACCTACATGAACTACTGAGCCACTGCCGCCCCTAATGGATGTTGTCACCTAGAGTTTTTGCTCAAAAATTATCTGAAAATCATCCTGCCTAATCATTCACATAAAACAATAGATAGTTTTAAATTGTGAAAAACATTTTTTGTTTGAAAGGCAATATGCATGGGGGCGTGGACGGCCTAACCCCTTGTCATGAATAATTAGGTGGTTCACACCTGAGAAGACAAAGACCCGCATAATAATGAAAGAATGAAAGGACTATATCTAAATATATATATATATATATATATACATACATACACACACACACACACACACAAATATATATATATAATCAAAATATAAATGAAAGTCAAAAGCACATTTTTAGTCATACCTGGAAACAAATCCTGTTCAAATAGGTTATATGGGCTATTCTATAGAATTGGTTCAAAGTTAGATTTGGAAACATCTTGAAAAGAAAATTGTATTTTTCCATAAATGTCTTTGTAAAGTATTTTTTTTTTAAGTAGGCCAATACATTTTATCATACATATTTCAAAGTTAAGGATTCATTATTTTGATATAGCTTGCATTGGAACAAACACTATAACAGTTGATTAGTTTATTTTTGACAAAACATACTATATATTTAACATATGAGCAGAAACTGTCTAACAAAAGCTTATTTGATGTCTATTTTATAGTAAAAACTTTATAATCTATCCAAAACTAGTCAACGAAATGTTGTCATTACAGACACTATTCTATATCGCGATTAGAACAAATCTCAGTAGGCTATAGCAATATAGTTTGGATGTGTTCATGTAAAAAAAATAACGTTTACTAATGTAGGAGCGAGAGTGAATGAACGCACAGATGCGATGTACAGCTGTAGTAAACATCGCGCACGCGTCTGTGCCATTCACACACAGACACGCAATTCATATTTAAACAGTCTTTGTGCAGTTTACAGACACTATTCAATAACGCGATTAGAACAAAGCACTTAAGAATAAATGACTAATGACAAATGAGCACGTCACTCGCACAAGACGCATTGCTAATGTCCGCATACACAATGAGCAAGCTATCAGGCTTCTTGAGGTGTACAGGATCCTCTCTCAAACTGTCCCTATATTAATTTTGTTCCTAAAATTGACAAAATACTAAGAATCTGTGCAGTACTTGTAAATCTGTGAGGGAAGCTTATTTCTAGAACACAGACACCATATCTTACACAATCAACATGACTAATCAAATGACTAAACACAAGTGGTAGGATGGAAATATATTTTTTTTTCTCAAAACCTTAAACACAAAACCAAATCTTCAAACTACATACACACAGCGAGTCAATATTATAAACACAACAGATCATTCAATAGACACTGCAGAGAAAATGGATAACACAGAATCCAAAGCATGCAATGTCTGTATATTCAGCACTTGCATACTGTGAAAATACAGTGACCCAACTGCAAAAGCCAAAATTAAAAGCATGTTACAATAAAGTACACTCAGAAGTCAAGTCAAGTCAAATGTATTTATATAGCGCTTTTCACAATACAGATTGTATCAAAGTTGCTTCACAGTATCAATCAAAACAACTTAACAGTGTTTATTTATTACTGGAAAAAGACATCCAAGTTTGGTAGAGCTGATCAGTGGTATGATGGGTCATTTTATTTGACTATCCCCAACTGAGAAAGCCAAAGGCAACAAAGAAGAGTTGTGCAACTGCAAAAAAATAAAACAGAGATTTTATTCTGCTTCAGCATCCCGTCTGCATATTGGTCCGGCCTGAGGACTGAGGACACGTCACAGACTAAGTCATCTCTGCAGGCAAAGGGAAAAACCCTAAAGCCAGATCAAGCCTTGACAACATTCTCCACATCTGCTCTTCCTCCTCCTCTTCCTGCTAGTTCACCACCTCTTACTCATCCTCTTCCTGCTCTCCCTCTTATATTGTTTCCATCCACTGTTGATATCAACATTCAGTGCAACATTTTGAGTCAATTTTGCCACTCTGAAATGACTTGAAGCTGGTTTGGTCACATCATTAGAAATAAGTGTGAACAATTTGGAGTCGTTGTGTGTAAACGATGAAAACTGTGTTGCAGTTGTGTTTAACTTTTGCCTGCCTGTGTTTAGCTTCTTGAAACATAAGTGTATCACAGAGCTAAATGTGTTTTAGTGAGTGAGAATGTGTTTAGAGTTTTGAAAAAAGAGTGCATGCGATTTTCCAGTAGTGTCTAACTGCCTGAACTTGTTTAATATTTTACAGATAGAGTGATTTATTTGACAATTTTTTTTAGGCAATTGAGAATGTGGTTCAGAGAATGGGATTTAGTGTTTTAGCAACTCAGAAAAACTGTAAGTACAAGAAGAGGTGATGCAACAGTATTGCACTGCATAAACATGCACACCAGGTGCCACTGTGTTTGTGAACACAACAATGAATACTTGAACAATAGATTTAGCTGATTTTTGTACTTTATGGTATTGCTATTTGTATTTACTTAAAGGTTTTGAATACCACTGCTAACCAAATGTACAGTTAATGAATTCAAATGGCACATTCATTTATATAAACTTATAAATAAACTCAAAAGCACAATTACTAAGTGTTTAATATTTTTATTAATGTCAACTGCATATATTTTAATTTTGGTTTGTCAGCTCACACAATTGGCTGCCACCATGCCTTAAAATTTGCAATAAAACTCTAACTGTCTTAAAACTGGAAAATTATTTTTTTAATGAAGACTGGTGAGACAGCATTACACAGTCTTTGTGTAGGTCTATTTCTTCAAAATATCCATGTACTAAAACCGATTGTATAGTGTAAACCCTTCCCCAACTATGGCAGTATGTTTGGCTGAGATTTATCTTCTTGTCCGCAAAATTATGTGTAAAAAGTAGAAATTGTTTAGCTGTTGCACTTGTGCATCTATGTAGTTTTTGTCAAATGTCCTCACTTGGTGTCCAGATGACCAGCTTGCAGCTCTGAAGGCCCAGACACATCATGGTCAGTTGTGTCTGAAAGAAGGATTAAGAGTGCATGTTGATAAAAAAAAAAAAATCTGTATAATTAGAGCTATCTACTTTCTTGAAAAAAAAATGTATTCACCTGGAGGTAGTGTCCATTCTTTCCTTTGGGCGAATCCGGTACTGTCCATCACCTAATCGTTTAATGTCACCATTTGGACGTCTCAGAAATTCTGCCAGTGACATTGAACTCTTGAAGGGGCACTTGATCTCGAGGAGTTGTGTTGTGATGCTAATAATTACTTTAAAATACTTGAAAAACTGTTTTGGAATTCAGGAGTCCCGGATAGTGGATAACTTTTCAGTAACAAACCAGTTTTATCACCAATAATTAAATTATTGTATTTCTAAAATTTAACCGTATGCTGGAAACTGCCTCAAAGGAATCTGTGAAACTAACAGTAAATTTGCTTTTGTGCAAAAGTAGAGCCTATAAACAAAGACCAAATACAGCTTGAGCTAATGTGGTTAACTCTTACTTTAACACGATTTCAACACTCAGTTGGTCAGATAAGAGGAAGTTAACAAGGAGGGGCTGATGATGTTTAAAGAAAGAGTTGTAACTATATAAAGAAAAGAAAGACCGTCAGAAACAGAAAATGTCTGATAAGTGTGATCTGTGTCTGCTGGGCCTCATCGTTCTCTCTTCACTTCTCACAGGTAAAGAAATCTGTATTTTCTGTATGGTAAATTTATCTTCATATTAAGAGTGTCAGTGATTTGAACAGCTCTCTGATAAAGATAAATATGATTTGAACTTCCTGCTTTCTGTGCTGGTATGTTTTATGTGTTCATTTATTAATATGTAGCATAATGATCACTCAAATGTAATGTGTTTCAGGTACCAGTGGAGAGGATGACACTGATATATTCATCAGTTCTGGTGAAAATGTCCGTCTGCCCTGTAATAATGCTCTTTCTAAATGCAAATCAACTACCTGGAACTATAACAGATTCAGTCGTTCACAAGCAGTTGAACTGATTGCTGGAGGGAAAGTGAAGGATAATACAGGGAGACATGCGAGACTGAGTCTGGGGTCTGACTGCTCTCTGATCATCAAGAGCGTCACAGAAGAAGATTCTGGGCTTTACACCTGCCAACAATATGTGAATGACAGAAAACAAGGATCTGATGCTCGTGTTTCTCTGCATGGTCAGTGTTTCTGTGAATTATATGTTCAATTTTAAAAGGACACTATTCCACATATTCACAAAACTCTTTTAAACACACTCACAAAAGCTTCTTTGACTCTGACAGAGGAGTAAATCAAGCATCGCTTCAAACTAATGAACAGTTCAGAAAGTGCTGCTGTAAATACATAAGTAATTGAAACTTGACAGCAAAAATTTTAACTTTTATGTAATATGATGATCCAAGACAAGTTAAAATATGATTGTCACATTAATCCTTTACAGCTCGAGCTCGTTCAACGACTCCAGTCACACACTCTCAGGATCCCTCCACTAGAACCATTTTCTTCTCAACCGTCAGTTTTAGTGGAGTCTCTAGACGGATAATGCTAGTTATTTCGCTTGTTAGCTGATTAATAAATGTCAAATTGTACAGTATGATGCATCTGAACTAGCATTCATCCCTTACAGCTCAAGATCATTCAACGACAGCAGTGATTCCGGTCCACATCACAAACTCTATACAGACACCAGAACCTAATACAAAAGGTACATGATGATGCTGCAGCTTTATCTAACATAATTCTACATAAATGATGAATTTTATATGGCATTAGGGCTCTGTCACAGTGTCTGGTTGTTCCCTGGGTTAAACACTAGAGGTCCTCAGGTTTCACGGTGTCTATGCATTCTCACTACAATTCCCATGATGTACACAAGTGCTAACAGGGTGACGAGAAACAGCTGTAAGGCAATGAACAATCAGTGACAGACAGGATCATGGGAATTGTAGTGATAATGCATAGACACCGTGAAAACTGAGGACCTCTAGTGTTTAATCCAGGGAACAACCAGACACTGTGACAGGCTTGAAGAGTTGTTTATTTAACATAAACAATTTCCTAGCCGAGAAATCTAGACGCACCCTAGCGGCAGCAAAAATTATTTTGCAGCCAGTGTGGTCTAGCAACTCTCCGTTGGCTTTTGAGCTGGAAAAAACAAAACCTGGTCCGGCCGATCAGATCGTGTAGAGTTGGTGGGCGGGCTTAACACAATGACGGCAGAGTTGTGACGGTTCCACGTGATTTCCATAGGTGATTTCCCTCTGCTTGAAAACAAAGAAGATGCTGCTGGCGAACAGTGGTCTTTCGAATCGGCTTTGCCCGCGACTCTGGATGACTTGGAGTTAAGAGAACGTCACTTAAGTCATTCCTAAAAAAGGAAGATGTGTTCAGAGTTTTGACGACCGGATACGGCAAAAGTTTAATAATATACCAACTAGCTGGTTCACTGGTGGAAAAACACATGGGACTCACTCATCCACAGCTGTTCGTTGCTCTGGTTGGTTGTAGCGCTGTCCTATTGCGTGCCGAGGGATATTGAAAGACAACCGTTTATCCCGCCCCTTGGATTGAGGTATACCAATTGTGAGTTCCCAGACCTAACATCTTGATGTAGGTCTGGCTTGCCAGGCTAATAATTTCCTGTTTACCGGGCAGCGCTCATATGAGAGGTTCTGACACTACATTTTTAAACTATTTTATGTTTTAATAAATCCAAAACAATCATTTCTTTTTTAGGTACATAAATATACATTCCATCCCATGTTAAAATCATAGACTGTAAAAAATATGGACAAAGCGTCTGCGACGTCACCCATAGACTTTCTGAAGAACGGTTTTGAGGCCGTTTATGGGGGGTATGGGCGGCGCCATCTTGGAAAATCTTGGGAAATCCAAAACCCCGCCCACCTTCTGGCCAATCCATATATGGGTAAAAGGGCGGGCTTTGTGTGAGACTGAGCCGGCCGGTGGACACGCCTCTTCAGCCAAGCAGCCTCAGCTATCTGTACCGTTATAAGATCGACTGGCAGACTAGGCTACTTTTTACAGTCAGTATCATTCTTATGTTGAAACTCCTCTTCCTCAATTTACTGAAGCCTATATGTAAAACTTATTTGCAGCTGCACAGCTCGCTCACAGGCTGTGCTGCGGCAACTGCACATCCAATGGCGCGGGCGCCTCTGACGTGCGACCAACTAGCTCGCAGATCAGTCTATTCTTATGTTACATTTATTCATTTGGCAGACGCATTTACAGTGTTTCAAACGTCAGTTATAACCATAGGTAAAGTACCTCGAACGCTAACTTATCTGAGGCGATTTAATGCTAACTGTTGCAGTGCCACTGCCCACAAACACTGATGCTAAATAGTGCTAACTACGTGAAATAGTAGTGGAATGTCACTTACCGGAAAAAAAGGAGCGAAGTACTCCTAGTCCTACAGTGTCGGTTAGTGCAGTTTATAGCAGAGCAACCCATGTTATGTACGATATTTCAATACAAATGTTCAGAAAGGATACAGAGGTGTTATGATGTGTTGTGTCAGATCATGGCCAAGACGTCAAATTTCAGGAATTCCACTCGGCGCAGCCCGTTATCAGCTGTCAATCAAGCTGTCAATCAAAGTTAACCACGCCCTTATTTGTCATACATTTTATATCTAAATACGATCTAAACTAACGAGTTAGAAAAAAATTCACCCCCCTCACAGTTGTCAGGCACTCGGAACCTATCGAAAAATACAATAAAAGTCCATGGGACCAACATGTATAAACATGAATTTATGCTGTGAAAACGGACATTTTAACATGGGCTGTATGGATATTTGCTCCCTTTTGGGACCTCCCTCTAGCGGATTCTCGATGTATTGCAGTTTTTTGCACTTCCGGGTGGGCTTCATTTTTCAGATTAGAATGTTGCCGCTTGGTTAAAATATGAAGATGATTTCTAACATCTGAAAGCATACTGTGCTGAATTTTAACAGCAATATACAATAAATCAATGATAGGGCATAAATCGGAAGGGTTGATTATGATTGACAGCCTAGTATCGACGGCTCTGTCCGTCTCTGACTCTGTGCTCGATCTCTTCTTCAGTCATAGGGATTTCTGTCGCTGCAGTCGCTGTTCTCCTTCTTGCTCTTCTCTGGCTGATCTTCAGAAAAACAGCTCGTGAGTTTTCAGATTTACTCCTTTATAACAATTAAAAACAGTTCAGATGAGCAAACAACCACATCATGTTCAGATCGTATGTATCACAGAGAAGTAAATGATTCTCAAACAGAAGTTTATTCCTGCTGAGAATTCCTGTAATGTCAATCTCAAAGAGTTATCAACTCAAACAACAATCGTTTTTACCATATATTGTAATGCTTCAAAAACATCCTATTGTTCACTTTCTGTGTTTTGCACGTGTTTTATGATAAAACACATAGATAATAAAAGAGGGACTGATGACTCGGAGGTGAGTTAAGTAATGCTGTGATTTAGATTTGATTACTGTCTTTAAAGCTCAATAAAGTGTCATTCATGCAGTTAAAATGTTTGTTGTCTGAAGGTCAAAGATGAGAATGAACATAAAGGAACGAATGAGACGAACAACATGTCCATTCCTCCTGCTGCAAGAGCCAATGTGAGTCACTAAATCATCAATCATTACGCTCACTGTCTGTTCTATAATGTGACTTACTAAAAGCTTTTGTGCTATTCTAAGATATATGTCTGTTCTGTGTGTTAAACTTGATTCTCTGCACGTTTGCATTGATGTTTAGGAGCAGACAGATGATCATGTGTTTTATACTGAGGTCACTTTTTCCAATAAAAACCCAGTAAAATCGCTCAATGTGAGTAGATCCCAGCACATTCCCCTGTTCTTCATCACTGTCCACTGACCAGTCCTATTCAGAGACAATCATTGCAACTTTCAGATAAATGAAGCTCATTCACTGATAATAATAATAATCGCTGTGGTTCAAACATTGATGGACAGAATCTGTGCTGTTCTTTCAGGATGATAATGATATAGTGACTTATGCTGCCATCAGAGGAAGAGAAGATCAACCACATGATGAACTTTACGCCTCTGTGAACAAGAACAAGACAGTCACAAATAAACATTAATGATGCAGATCATGAGCTCATCATATCAGGAGCAGATGGGAAGATTTCATGTCTTTGGTGTTTGGAGGAATTATATATTTGTATGTAAACGAGCAGATATTTGTTGAATGTACTGTTAATATAAATGAGATTTATTGTGAATGATCATCAGGGCCCGAATGTATCAAGCCTCTGAGAATTACAAGAACACTTAAGAGTAAAAATAATTCTTGGCTCAAAGCTGCTCTTAAAAGGTAGTTATCAAGCATCTCAGTTGTAATTTAAGTGAAGTGTAGGACTAAATCTTAAGTGTCGGTCTTAGAGATGATTCACAACACTTTGCTGTGCCAGAAACGTGATTTTGGATGACGACATTGACATGGACCAATCACTGAATAGATCTCCTTATTTAAGAATATTCTCAGATAAATTCACATTGAATGGTGAAATTACTAAGAGGAGTTTGCATTGAGCACACATTTGACAAATCATTTTTAAAAATGAAAGGAACACCTTTTCCAACATGTCTTAATTACAAATTTTAAACCAGTGCGCTGTTAACTGATATAGGCTAGATTTTATTATTTAAAATCATATTTCTGGTTCCATAATATAAATGTTATTTTTGTATTTCATCTATGTTGATTATATGAAAAGTAAACAGCATGAGTAAGATAGGATCATAAGATGGGTCAGACATGATTTTGACCACTTCATTAAGTTTTGTTTTGTAGAGAGCATTTTTTTAAAAGTGAATTTCGTTTTGAATAAATTGTATCTTAATTTGAATCACTGTTTCATCAACCAATTGCCTGGATTTAATAAATGAGAAGCAAATATAGCAGACAATATAATCAGGACGTGAGGCGCCGGCGCGATCACTTGCATTGCTCGTGAACTGGAGCTCATCTCTAGCCTGACTTCGTCATACTCATATTCTAGTCAGAATGTGAGTCTGATACTGCTCCATAGGGCTTTGATTATGAGGCGTGTCTTAACCGAACCAAAAAAAAAAAAAAAAAAAACTCTGCACTCAATTGGATAGACCTACAACCAATCAGAGCAACGCAGTAAGTGTTTATTTTTATGAGCTACACAAAGTTGTCAACAGAACCGAACAGAACTCACCTGCACTGTTGAGTTAATGCGCTGTCGATTTCTTTTACAACAGACGCAATAGCGGAATCTATACATCTCAGTTCTCCAGCGGCGGCCATCTCTGAGGGAAACCAGTTCAACCCAAGCGCTCTTTGATAACGTGATGATTACGTAACTGCAGATCATTTGTCCATCATCGTATAAAGCCCGCCCTGGCAATTTGATTGGCCCGACTAATTATGAACCGATCATAATTACTCCTCAATGGATCGAGTCCAGACCGAACTTCCCGACCAAAAAATGTTGTGGGCGGGGTTCGGGCTGGCATCCAGGCTAGCTCATCTCATAAATGAACTGAAACTCAACGTATAGGCTACTTGCCTCACAGACATGAGAAATAAATAGAAAGCTTGAAATGTCTAAACAACATTCAAAACGAAAAGAAACAGACTACTCTCTGCTTATGTAATCTGTATGAAATGTGCATTTCTCTCTATAGTTCACTAGTGCGAAGATGGCGAGTCAGCATCGTCAACTTCATCTCTGCAGCCGACACTGACACAGAAAACACTAACTTATTAATACACATTTAAAATGTCTTCTTGCTATATTTGACACATTCATAATCATTACTTTTGCCGGTTCTTTGTGACAGCTTTTATGTGCGTTATTGGCAGCGACACGTCACCCTCAGCACTGAAAACATGGGGATTTTTTTAATACAATAATCACACAACCTATTGGATAATCTATAATTAAATCAAGTAATCAAATAGGCCTATTCGAAGATCATGACTCATCCCTATATATTAACTGCTCGTTGTCAAACATTTCTCTCCTGAAAGACTCACTCGTCTCTGTCTCCTCAGTGCATCTCAAGCCCCTACTGCCAACTCCTGACCACTTGAGAGACCTCTCGAGCTGTCTTAAATAACTGGGAGAGAAAGAGTGATCCTTCGCTTTAAGAAATTTGATAACTTGCACACTTTCCTGAAAAAAGGAAAGTTTGTTCTGGTCAGTTTGATGTTCCATTCACACCATGAGGGTTCATGAAGTCAGAACAATGTGACTACTATGTACTATGAACTTTAAACAACACAGTTTTTACAAAATAAACTGAAATGATTACTGTCTCCATCTCACCACAGCTTTACACATCCAGCAGAAAGTGAGCAGCTGGATTAAAGATAAGCAACATGTAGTTCTTGTTATTTCTGTGTGATTATGTTGATGCTTATAGATGTTTAGGGCACGAAGCTCCCGTTCCACCACATTCCAAAGATGCTCTATTGGGTTGAGATCTGGTGACTGTGGGGGCCATTTTAGTACAGTGAACTCATTGTCATGTTCAAGAAACCAATTTGAAATGATTCGAGCTTTGTGACATCGTGCATTATCCTGCTGGAAGTAGCCATCAGAGGATGGGTACATGGTGGCCATAAAGGGATGGACATGGTCAGAAACAATGCTCAGGTAGGCCGTGGCATTTAAACGATGCCCAATTGGCACTAAGGGGCCTAAAGTGTGCCAAGAAAACATCCCCCACACCATTACACCACCACCACCAGCCTGCACAGTGGTAACAAGGCATGATGGATCCATGTTCTCATTCTGTTTACGCCAAATTCTGACTCTACCATCTGAATGTCTCAACAGAAATCCAGACTCATCAGACCAGGCAACATTTTTCCAGTCTTGAACTGTCCAATTTTGGTGAGCTCTTGCAAATTGTAGCCTCTTTTTCCTATTTGTAGTGGAGATGAGTGGTACCCGGTGGGGTCTTCTGCTGTTGTAGCCCATCCGCCTCAAGGTTGTGCGTGTTGTGGCTTTGCTGCATACCTCGGTTGTAACGAGTGGTTATTTCAGTCAAAGTTGCTCTTCTATCAGCTTGAATCAGTCGGCCCATTCTCCTCTGACCTCTAGCATCAACAAGGCATTTTAGCCCACAGGACTGCCGCATACTGGAGGTTTTTCCCTTTTCACACCATTCTTTGTAAACCCTAGAAATGGTTGTGCGTGAAAATCCCAGTAACTGAGCAGATTGTGAAATACTCAGACCGGCCCGTCTGGCACCAACAACCATGCCACGCTCAAAATTGCAAAAATCACCTTTCTTTCCCATTCTGACATTCAGTTTGGAGTTCAGGAGATTGCCTTGACCAGGACCACACCCCTAAATGCATTGAAGCAACTGCCATGTGATTGGTTGATTAGATAATTGCATTAATGAGAAATTGAACAGGTGTTCCTAATATTCCTTTAGGTGAGTGTATATTACAAAAAAAATTCAAAATGTGGATGTTCTAAAACTTTGGACCGGTAGTGTAATTAATGTAAAAACAGTTTTGTTAATAAAAAGTTAAAAGTTATAATCAGTGCCATGTAGCTATTAATGGCAGATGTAACCAGCTTTGATTGTAATTTGTATTAAAATAAGTTATCTAACATTTATTTGATTGTGTATTCAGAACTGACAGATGAAGACATTGCAGACCTGAAAGTACTGGCACCTACCACAGCTGTGCTCACTAGCATGGACTTCAGTGACACAGATTCCACATCAGAATCTGACACAGAGACCGGAGACCTGCCAGAGCCACTCGTAGCTCTGCATGATGCCAATCTGAGATGCCTCTGCCAAAATGAACTACAAGAGAGGAGCGGAGAGACCTTTGAAAAACTGGGGAAGGAGTTAACTAATGAGCAGTGTGTAACCCTTGAGCTTACGACTAAAAATCAGGCCCACTCTCAGGCCTGGCACACACACAGAACTGGAAGGGTAACAAGCACAACCCTACATTGTGTATGCACTGTAGTAACCGAGAGCAGGTAATGCACTACAACAGACAAGAGTTGTCCTATGTCCCAGCAGTACTTTGGGGAAGAAATATGGAGGACACAGCCAGAAGACAATACACAGAAATAATGAAAGCACAACATCACAACTTTGACATCGCCGGATGGGATGGCAAACTGTACCTGCAGTGGGAAAGCAACTGTAGAGATTAAGTCAAGTCAAGTCAAGTCACCTTTATTTATATAGCGCTTTTTACAATACAGATTGTATCAAAGCGCTTCACAGTGATAACATGAAAACAATATAACAAAGTTTGTTTCTAAAAGAAATTGCGTCAACGTCCACCTTAAGTAAGGCAGATCAATAATATTATTGAATATTAAATGTCCCCAACTAAGCAAGCCAAAAGCCAAGGCAACAGTGGCAAGGAACCAAAACTCCATCAGGTGACAGAATGGAGAAAAAAACCTTGGGAGAAACCAGGCTCAGTCGGGGGGCCAGTTCTCCTCTGGCCAACGAAGGAACAGTGCATGATTCGGGCAGCATTACAAGTCAGATTGGATCGGAACATTTAGAGTATTTTTTGGAAGTCCAAGTATGCACGCCGGTCTTAAGACGAGTTGTTGAGAATCAGTGCCGTCCACTATAGAGAGTCCATATCGCCCGTGTTGAGTCGTCACTTCATAGGCTTTGTGATTGGAGCATCTGAAGTCTCCGTGAGAGGCTGGATACAAACTGGAGCTGACGAACGCCATTTTCTCGGGACTCGCGTCCCGAGATAACAGCAGAAAAGCAAAGGGAAAATAATTAGCGTAGCTGCTGTTCATAATGATGATTTCCATAACACAGGCGTAAATGACAAAACATGAAGACAGTGACTCTTGCGTCCCAAAATCACCCCCCTCCGTCCCCCACTCAACTCAGCCCAGCTTACTGACCTCTACGTCCCTCCTGCTGCTGAGACCTAACCACAATCTCACAATCTCTCCGCAACCCAACCATACGCGCCAACCCGTTGACTAAGGCTGTCGAGCCCCCTGTCGAGCCCCACTGGTGCGTGAATAGGCAGTTTCAGTGGACAACGGTTCCGTATGGCATACTACCTACCGCAACACAATATCTGCCCAACCACCCGTGTTGAGATTAAGTGCCCATACAAATACTGTGACAGGGAGCAGTGAGGACACACAGTTCTGCTTAGACAAAGCACTTCAACTAAAGAATAATCATGAATACTACCAAGTTCAGCTTCACATGTTTGTATGCAACGCCCAACGCTGCAAGCAGTCCTGCCTAAAGCTGAAGTGTTCTTTAAACGGAGTGTTTTGCCTGAGCTGTTAACGTGCACATGGATCCACTGATGCAAGCACCTGCCGTCTGCTCACACTGTCAAAGGCCTGGCTTTGGGATGATGATTGACTGAGCAAAGTGCAAGAACCATTTCCACTACACATGTGCCAGAGTAAGAAGAAATCTTGTGAATTGGTATAGTGAACAGTGCAAGAAGACAACAACTCAGAATGAAATGTACTTCGAAGCCAATTATTTAAAACACTACTAGTATTTTACATTAAAACACTTAAATCTGCAATAAGTTACATAAAGAATGAATCTAAATCAAACTATCTTCTTGGGACTATACATTTACAAAGGTTTGTTAATGCTCCACACACAATCACTATATCCTTTAAGAGGTCAACCTGTGTAAGTGGAATAACAGTTGTCAGAATTTTGAAAATTTTCCATCTACCTATTACTCTTTCAATGTGTATTGTCGCATTAGACAAACGCCTTGATATGTGCACTTCTTGAGCAGAGAGCTGCTTCCTTCCTCTGGTAAAGTGAGGGATCCTAAGGGTGGCACCCCGTGTGGAAAGCTCATCTCTAATGGTAA